CCGAGCCCTGCAGAACCCCACTGCCCACATCCCTCCAGGTCGAATAAGACCTGTCCACCACCACTCTCTGGGTGCGGCCCTCCAGCCAACTAGTGAGCCATTTGACTGTGTAGGTGTTGACGCCACAGTCTCCTAGTTTCTTAATGAGAATGGGGTGAGAGACAGTGTCAAAAGCCTTCCTGAAGTCCAGGAAGACTATGTCCACTGTGACACCTGCATCTAAGGATTTTGTGACCTGGTCATAGAAGGCCACCAGGTTGGTCTGACAGGACCTGCCTCTAATGAACCTGTCTTGGTTGCTCCTAAGCATAATCTCCCCTGCTGGCCCCTTGCAGACATGCGCCAGGATAACTCTCTCAAAAAGCTTACCCAGGGCTGAGGTAAGACTGACTGGCCTATAGTTCCCTGGGTCCTCCTTCCTCCCTTTTTTGAAAATGGGAACCACATTGGCCCTTTTCCAATCCTCTGGCACCGCGCCAGAGCACCATGAGCGCTCGTAAAGCCATGCCAGGGGTCCTGCAATGACCTCTGCTAATTCCCTCAGCACTCTGGGGTGGAGATCATCAGGACCTGCTGATTTAAATACATCCAGTCCCTCCAGAAGTTCCCTGACTAGGTCCTCACTGACCCTAGGCCTAGGTGCACCTCCCCTGGGCCCTACGGGGGTCCCGGGGGGGGAGGGGTGACCCAGTCCCTGCTCAGAAAAATGGAGGCAAAGAAATTGTTAAATAGGTTAGCTTTACTGTCTGGTGCGACGACCAGACTTCCTAGCGTGTCCTGCAGAGGCCCCACATTACCCAGTACCTTCTTTTTACCCCCTATGTATTTAAAAAAGGACTTCTTGTTGTCCTTGATCTGGGTAGCTAGTCCCTGTTCCATCTCTGCCTTGGCCTTCCTGACTACCCGCTACAGCCCCGAGCAACCGAGGTATAGTCCTCCCTGGTAATGGCCCCTCTCTTCCATTGGGTGTACGCCTCCTTTTTAGCTAGGAGATGTTCTCGTATGCTTTTGGTGAGCCATGGGGGGTTTTGCACATAAAGAAACTCCTGCAGAGAAGCAATTCACAGTAGGACTTTCAATCTGTCCTTTGCCAAATACTATGAACCTTACTGCACCATCCATTTATGCTCAAGTGTAGTTCTCCATAAAAATCAGTCTATAGAATTTAATTTAATCTTTCATGGCTGTCACCAGAGCAGCCATCTATGTCAGCTAATGCATGTCAAGAGAGTGCTTCCCCCATTTCTCTATCACCACCCTCCTTTAACACATGCCTAAATATGTTTTTCCACTGGATAACAATCCCAATTTGAAAACTGGGTCCTCCTTCCTCCCTTTTTTGAAAATGGGAACCACATTGGCCCTTTTCCAATCCTCTGGCACCTCTGGCATCTAAATTATATTAGATGAGTAATCTGATGTCAACATAGACCCCATAACCCAAACCATAAGAGAACACCTTGTTCACTGGGTAAAAAAAAATTTCACAAAATAATTAAGTCCTGGGGAAAGCCACATGCCTTCTATCATTTTAGTTTAAAATGTAATCCTAGAAAAGATAATAAAAAGTAACACATCATTTCATTTGGACCACTTCAAAAAGCAGAGATTTCTAGAGATTGCTTGAAGGATTCAGAATTCCATTAATCTTTGCTGCAGAAATCAAATCAACTCTGGACCTCCCCACTCTGGAAATCTACAAACACAATATGAAACACACATCTAAATCAAGAATTCTTCCCAACTTTGTAAACACACAAAAAGTGTTTTATGAAGGGTTTGAAGTCTATGTTGGCACATCTCTGCTGTTTTCCCACCTTGAATCGTTAAACATTTGGGAACCAGACAGCTGATTTTACATAAATAACTAATGAATAATCAAATTTCAGCTAGATAGGTCCCCTTCTTCAGAATTTCTGACATATTTCTTGTGCTACTGAAGTTCTTTATTATGCAAAGCTGTCATTAGCTTTGTCTCCATCCACAGGAATCTCGTCTTTTAGGGCATATGTAAAAATGGCTGTATAACTCTTTTCCTAGAGAGGCAACAGTAATTAAAATAAAAGCACAGATGAATATTCCTGAAGCAAAAAACACTTATATTAGATGTTATGGCCTTAACTGGATGCCTGTTTAGAAGCAGTGTCAGATTGACTGGATTTATTCTGGGACTGCCCACAAGGTCTGTTGATCTACTTCATACTGTTGGCTATATGCCTCCTTTTATACAGTCTGCCACGTAGTGCACAGTGTGTAGTAGTCTCAAAATAAAGGAATGCTGTAATTTAGTAGTACATTTACTAGGAAAGAATGCTTGGAGAAAAGAAAGCAGTCTATTAAAATACCCCCCCAAAATAAGGCATGCAATTTTTGGTTCAGTAGCCATGATTAATCTGGAATCCAAAGCATCTTAGCCTCCCATCAGAGGTGCTCAATTATTTCCTCAATTAGATGGTTTATTGCTGTTTTTGAAGATCATTTCTGTAATCTAATATTTAACAATTCATACTTTCTAATGTAGTTTGGTTTTAATTCTTCCCCTAGATTAAGACATATTTACTCTCTCTCTCTCTCTCTCTCCACCCACTCCTATTGTTTTTATTATCCAGCCTTACAGAACTGAGTTGCCTCCTTTCTCTTCAAATTGTTAACATGCTATGCAGTTGACACACAGGAATGAAAAAGTAAAGCAATTATTTTTAAAAAAAAACCTAGTATATTCACCCACTAATTCCTCTTCATCAACCTGCAACAGCAATTGCCTCCTCCTACACTCACTTGTTCTTCCTTGATAAGTCTTATAGCCCATCACACATTGGAGCAGAGACTAACAAAATTAAACACTAGCTAATTAAATAAATAATTAAAGCCTGATGATTTAAGGTACAACTTAGGCATGTTCCTGAATCCGTAAGTCCCAGGGTGCTCTAGATATGACACCTCCATTGATTCTCAAATTCTTACATATTTAAAATTGCTTTAATTGGAAAAGAAAATAATAGCCATTCCATTTTGACTTTGCTGAACAGTGTGTATGATTTATTTATGTTCCCCTTTCTATCAGATTGTTCCTAACACAAGATAAAGCATGATTAGCCATAAGAGCTTAGAGGAGAAATGCCAATTATAAATGCAAGTATTTAGCCATTTCTCAGCTATTCACCAATCGGCCTGTTCGTGTGAGGAAGGCAAATAAGATTTGGATTCAACTGTATGCACGCAGATTTTTAAAAAAATAAAAGTTCTAAAATATTGACTGACAATGTATTAACGTAATACAATTAGTTTCTAAATATGGCATTTTGGATTTATCTAAAAAGTACTTAGAAAAAAATTATATTAAGTAAACATATTAAGTAAACAAAGTACTGACGACATATATGGTGCTGCAGGAGAAACTGAAACAGTCCTTTTCCCAAAAGGTTTACAATACAAAAAGCTCTGAGTCATCTGATTAAAGAACAAAGTCATTCTTTATGTATATAAGCTTTCAATTTTAAAAAAGCCACGCAGGTCACTAGTACAGGAAACCAAGGGCCCTAACCACATATTCAAATTAAAGCTGGACAGAAACCAGCTATAGAGTTATTACACATTTTCAAACTAACTTTGTAGCTGGTTGCCTTTTTTAATAGGTGGATAGATATTTTAATGATAATTACTTTGTACATGTGGCTGATCTAAACTTATCGCACAATTTGCCAGTTAATTGCATAATGTATGATGTAATGTGTAGCAGGGGCCTAAGGCATCACAATCATGTGGTACACAACCCAGCACAGCATAACCTTGGTGTAAATCCTCACACAGAAGATAAAGGCAAAGACATGCTGCAGAAGGTAAGAAGAGATTATATACTATATTCTAATAAAGTACACAAAGTACATTAGAAATCTTAATAGGAGCTCTTTGAACTGTTTATAAAATTCCAATGTAAATTACTAATCCAAGTTGCATCTACCAACTTCCAATTATGATTTGGCAAACATCAAGTTTGCTAGAAGAGAGGATCTCTCCACACAGATTAGCTGACCTTGTCACAGAAAGTAATTTTGGAAATTGAAGGCAACATTTCTAAAAACACTTTCTGCAAAATCCTGGGTTTCTTGTTTAACTACCAAATCTCCAGCAGTAAGTTCAGGCCAGACATGAATGGTCTTGAGATGCAATGCCAGTCATGCAAAAAAATTCAAAATATAACATGCAACATTATGCAGGAAGCAAAATGTCCTAAAGCATTGTGGCCATGGCCAGTTAAGGTTGTTCTTTTTAACAAATATTCCATCTTTACAAATCACCCTTGTAGTTAACATGCTGAAGGTCACTTTATACATTTCCCAAACAAGCTGGACTCTGAATCTCATGCCACAAAGATGCATAAATTGGTGGGGAACAAACATTAGTATTCTTCGTTCAATATGTAAAATGAGCTTTGAACATATAAAAAAACTGTGCATAAATTACCACAACTAGCTACATTACATACTAAGAGTTAGGTTTCTTAAATTTTGTCATTCTTGTTGCCTTCTAGATTTATATAGGTTTTTTGCGGAACACCAAAGCATCCAAATAAAACAAAATTTTTTTGTGGTGGAAAATATTTTAAGTTTTAACAATTTAGATTTTAGGGAGTCAATTAATATTTTCCCCTTTTCAAAAGTGCAATTCAAATGTTGAGCAAAGAAGCAGGACAGAACTTCTGCAATGGCATGCTTCCAATGAACAGTGTCAGATGTTATATTAGAGTGAATGAACAATGATTATTTTAGTGCAATCTTAAATAAAACAAAACAAAAAAATCAAAGACATTTTTAATGCAAATTTTCAAGGTGCCCAACTTATGCTCCTGCTCTGATTCACGACTACAAATCCCAAGCCCATACTTTTAAACACATATAAATAACCTTGCATAATGGCACAAATGTGATAAAGGTAGTCTTCTGTGAATTTTAGAGAAAGTAGGACCCTTTAAATTGCTTTAAGATTTATTTTTTAGCATGTTAGAACGTATTAACCAGGTCATGCAGATAGAAAAGCAGAACTTTTAAGTTTAGCTTACAGAAATAAAATATTTCCATTTAAGCAGCCTTTAGTTATAGGCCAGTTTATCTCCACACAGAAGTATAAGAAAAATATATTTAAAAAGTCCTCTCTTATCCCACATTTACAGCTGGAAGATGAAACAATTCAGCCACACAAGAGATTTTCTAAGGGTTAGAGATACCTTTGTAACACATTCCCCTTACCTCTTAGAGACTCTGTAATGTGCTGTGATCAGTTTCCCAGTCTCAGGGTCATGTACAGTAGCCCGGCTCAGCTACAAAAAGAGAAAGGACAAGGGCTTACCACCCTAGTAGTTGGCTCTTTTGGTCAAGCCAGAGGTGATTAGAAGGGTTCCGATTGGTCTGGATGGTATGCAATGCTCTTATATCAGCAGCAACATTTAGAAGGGCAACAGTAGCTACAGCTGCCATTTCCAAATTAAGAATTGCGTGGACGAATTTGGTTAGATTGTCCTTTCACTTTTCTTTTCTTTTTTTTAAACTAGAGACTTTCTGCAAACAGTTTATGATGCTGAGTTTCACAGAAAAATCGTCAGTATCCAGAAGTTTAATGTTCTTTCCTCATTTTCGTATAGCTTTTTGCTTCATAAACAAAAACATCTAAGAAAAAACCCTAGCCCTTGTGTAGGTTGCTTCTATAATTTATTTTTTTAAGTGCAAATAATAACATTTGTTTTCTGAAACTTGGTTCAAACAGAGGAGGACTACAGTTCAAAAACTGAGCTTGGGAGAGTGGAGAGCACTTAGAAGCCTGTTAACATGTTTTCTGCCAAGTCTGAGTCAGCAGGAGGCAAAACAAGCCAGACAAGATTATCTTGGACAATGATACTTTATAATATGATTAATGAACTAATGTTTCTGCATGCCAATGTAATTGTCAGACACAATAATGCGACTCCATGACAGCTCTTGTAAGTGCAACGAACCTTCACAAACAGTCTGCCAGAATTTGCAAGACAGGAGATGACAATTTGTTTGTTGCCACTAACAGTGGAGATAGGGAGTAGGGAGACCATTTCTGTTGAGGTTTGTACCTCTGAAAATTGAAGAAACTTCCTTTTTATGTACTTCTATTTGAAAAGGACACATAAAAAAGGCAAAAAAACAGAACTTCTAGTTTGAGGAAAAGACTGAAAAACTCAGCAGTAACAGCCTGTTACCATAGCTGTACATCAAAAAAGAGATGGGTTAGAAAGTGAAATTTCTTTCTATCCCATCTTTTTTTTATTCCCCTGAACAAGCAGAGTACAAGCACTCATGACAGGCCTAGAATGTCCGGTGTAGAAGTCTCTTACCTTTTGCTAATTCTGTAATGTGCCGTCTCCAACACTCCTGTTATGGGGTTTGAAATGGTGGCTCGCCTCAGCTGTGAAGCGAACCAATCAGAATAATTGCATTACAAAGTAAATATTGCATCACATCAATCCGACCATTCAGAATCCTATGGGGGGGAGGAGAAGGAAGGGGAAGATCCCGCACAAGCCATGCATTTGATCCAGTCATTTTCCAGTGTTGTGTTGTGAAGGACTTGTTGCAAAAAAATTTGAAAAAAGAAAGAGTGGGAGCTTCAAACACTGATAAGTGCTTTCAGAGCCTTGCAGAAGATGAAGTAAATGATTTTTCCTTGAAGCAATACTCCAGAATTTCTAGGGAACAAGTATTGTTGTTTGAGTAAAAAAACTTGTAACCTTTTATTTCCTTTATACTCTGAGTGACAGCTGCTGAAATTTGCAAGTCTTCAAAATACATACCGTATGAACATTACTTTATTATTAGCTATATATATTTCACATCCAGAATGCGCTTTAGGGTTGTATACAGTCTGAGTGAAAAAGGAAGATATAGGAAAGATCTACCTAAGAGTCTGAAACTCTCATGTATAATAGATGAATTCAACAAAGTTCTTCTGACACTGTTAAAGAAGTTTCTCTCCCAACCTGTTTCAGACAGCAGACATGCTGGCTACACCAGCCAGTGTCTTCTGAAGTGGCTCGCTTATGGGCACTCAAAAACAAATAGAACAAAACAAATTTTGTGTGCCGACACCATACTATGGCTTCCTTTCTCTCACTGAAGCATTGGATTTCTGCAAGCCAACAGTTACTTGCTCCATCTGCTCTACATGCAAATAGTCCATGTTTGTCAGTGTAGAAGCATAGTCATATTAATAGCTGCATTGTAACTGACTGGAAAACAATTATGTCAAGAAGTGTAGTTTAAATCCACTAGCAGTTTAGCTCCATCTCTGAATTTTCAGTCATCTTTATAGCAAAAGAAGGATTTCCATCTATTCCACAAAGAACAGGCTTAAGCTACAGTCCAGGGAGGATTTCACCAGTGCTTTCTATAATTAATGACTAAGCTGCTTTGTTGCATCATGATTTACTATGATTTTATATTAAAAGGGGAAAGAAACTTGCACACAAACTGGGATCCAATTCTCAGATGTCTGATAGACGTGATTGATGTGGGAAGCATAAGCAGGAAGAGCCATTTTAGGTGCAAGTTATATAATAATTGTAATCAATTTCATTATAGTGTGGAGCCTTACTTCATGAGCATAGTGTTTGCTGATAAGGAGGCTTACTTTTCAGTTCATGCTGGCTAATCCTAAAGTTAGTAGTTAAAGATAACTGTTCTTGATCTACTCATGGGTAACACCCTTCTCTTTCCTTGTTTAAAGGCACCTGGGTGGTCACATTTCTTTTAAGTATTTTTGATGCATTTTCTCATAACATCTATCCTTCCTTTGGTTTGCTTTTCAAGGCAGAATCTATTTAGCATAAAGAAAATGTTGAGTAGATGATATTCTGTCTGCAACTTGTCTTCGTTTCTGGCAAGCTGAATAAAAACTGGATTCATTTATTGAGAAACTGAGGGGGGAAAAAACACTGTGCTACATAAACTGATTTTCTATCCAGCAAACTTACTAATTTTTCATCTCTCCAGATGCTGGAGATGCCCAAGTGACTTCTACTTCTATATCCATGTGGCTAACAGATTGTTAATTGGGTTTTCCTAGATACCTTGAGAACTCAGCCTATCCCTTGTTATTTCACATTTAGAAAACGCTATTTGAAATTCTATTTTTGAAATAGGATTGGTGGACAGAGATGAAGGATGGGAAGTTTGAGGACTATGTTAGTTATGAACCAGTGACTTACACTACTTTCACCCCCAGCTGAACTTTAACTTCAAAGTGTAAGACTTTGATGACTGGCTCAAATCTGAGCCCGATGCATTCAAGTCAGTTTCAGATGTCAAATGCAGTACACATTGAGAGTCTGGTACCCAAAAGCATGGAATGCTAACTTCAAAATGGCTTCTCCCTTTAAGCTGTCTCTATATCAAAGTAAGTGACAAGTAAGTAGAAATTAGAGCGAGTGGTGGCATGCTGAGGAAAGCTGTTGACAGTACAAGAAAATTAATACTGTGGATGTTGCAGAGTTCTCCATAATGGCATCCATAACAAATCCTGTCCATCGGAACATTCCAATTCTGCCAAAAAAGGGCTGCCATTGCCTGAATAAAGATTCTAAATGTAAGCCTTTTTCAACTTTCCACTGTCACTTTTGAAGGATGTCACTGAAAGCCATGCAGAGAAAAAGCTGTCATGTGTGCATTATTGGTATCCAGAGTTAACTGTGAAAGTACCAAAGTAAGAGGTGGGGTAGCTCAACTCATCCACGCAGAACAAAGATGATATTTAAGCTTCCAAAAGGAATAGAATATGAAGCATGTTACCCTTGGTTTGGCTAGTTCTTTCACAGTTGCAATCTCTTCATCAGATATTATATCCAGGAAACGAACAATCCTAGGTTTGTCCCACTCATCTTCCTGTTTGACAGGGCCCAGGATGTATCTAGGATTCCCATTTCCATCATAATAGCGGCAGAAGAGGCTTTTCTGTCTCTTAGGAGTCTGAAAGGAAGGTGAGGCAGAATAAGATAAACCTGTAACTTTTCCCCGAATGAGATTAATCTGAATAAGCCATAATGGCCTTCAAAGACAAGAAAAGTCTCTGATAGATCAAAAACAATACTCTTTCATTTCCCTTAAGAGTCACTTGTGAATTACCAGTTGAAGAGATTCAAAGAGCCATGCTTTCAGCAAATGCAAATGCTGTTTGCAGACATAATATTAAAAAAATACAAGGAAAAACCCAAACAGAACAAAGCAAAAAAAGTACTTTTACATTACAGTTAAATTATAGCTGTCTTAAGCTGGCCAACAGTCAATGTCATCCAATGCTGTTACGCAACACCCTTACTTGACTCTAATTCATTTACTTCTATCAACACATTTCAAACTGGATTAGTTATCAATGTACTCTGAAAGGGCTACTGCTCTATTCCAAAGTACTTTATTTTTCTATTCCATACCCTCCCATGCATCTGTTCTCTCAGACCCAATGTTCTGTTTCCTTCAGGCCACCATGCATGTTTAAATAATGCTCTGAACACAGATCAGTGCAAGGAGAGGACTAAAAAGGAAAAAGCAGCATTTTATAGCTCAAAGCTGTCCAACTTCTAAGCAAGCAGGGCCACAAGCCACGTGGGCTGCACCAGCACAAGCCATGGGTCCCCCTTGGCCCCACACCCCTGGCACATTGCTATATTGCACATATCTCCCCTCCCTGTTGCATGTGGGCACCTACCTTCAGCTCACTGGTGACAGCTCACCACACTGGATACCCCCTCCCTGAGGCTGTGGACTCCAACAGCAATGTGGGCTGCACTCTAGGGTAGGGTCCAAGGAGCAGAAGCTGGAGGAGGGAAGGGTTGCCCGGAGCCCTGGTGGCTGCTGCAGCCAGAGGGAAGAAGCAGCAGCTGAGTGGGAGCCTGGGGGCCACAGCACAGGCCCTGCTATACTTCATCTTTGCCAGCTGTTCAGTATCTCTTATTACTGAAATATGGGCTACGCTAATATTTCTAAATTAGAGTTGTACAACTGATTTTATAGATTTAAAAAGACACAAAGAAATTACTCCACTTTACCATTTTTACACCCTCCCCACGACACAGCTTTTCATATTTCCTTCTCTCTGGCAGGTAATCTTTGGCCCGCCCCTTTTTCTTAGTCTTTGATTCTACATCAGTCTGGTTATCTGCTTCAGTCGTGGACTTATTTGCTTCTTTTTCTTTTGACATGATATACTCAAAATATTTCAGATTACCATTTGCTCTCTGATGTTCAGGATCTATCAAAGAAAAAAATATAGAAATGTTTACTATTTGTTGGGATCAACCTGAAGGAGTTTACCTATAAAGGCAGACTTTAAGAAAGAAAACTATTCATTCTTGGACAGAACTTAGACAGAGGATGGGTAAGCCAGGGATGTTCAGCACAGGCTTACAGGCCAAATCCAGCTCGTGGGGCCATGCCATTTGTCCCCTGCAGGGGTCCCCACAGGTCCAAAAATTTGGTGCTGAGCGAGTGGTTTCCTACTGCTGTTCCCCTGCTGCCAAATTTCTGAACCTGTGGGGAGGCCCATGGGCCTGATAGCCAGGGATCCTGGTTTTACCTGTTTAAAAAAATCACACATTCTCTGATTTAAAAAACCCCAAATCTGCATGAAATGCCACTCTATTCATTATAGGTATCATTTGAACACAATGCTTTATTGATATATTTACAATTTTAAAGCAATTTGGAAGCCGACCAGTGCCTCAATCACTATAATAAAATAAATTCTAAATACCTAAAAATGTTGGTGTTTGATTTTGAGTTATGGAAAAATCAGAGCTCCCCCTGCCCTCTTTGCTCACCAGGACACTGGTCCAGCTGTGCCTGTCTTCCCCTCCCCCCACTGCTTTGTGGTGCTGACCAGCCCTGATATACTGGTCTTGCCCAGGCCATTCGGACAGGCCTAGTCCTGTCGGAGGGGGCCAGCTGCAAGGGCTAGGAGGACAAGAGACCTGGGTCTGCAGCTCCCTGCCCCACCAGCAGCGTCCGAGCCCTGGCTCCTGCTCCTGGGAAATAGTGGCTGCTGCAGCCAGAGTAGAGCACAGAGCCTGGATCCCCCTTCCCCAGGGATGGCACAGCTGGTATGGAGCCTGGGGGGGTGGGGCTGGCAGCTGCAAGCCTTAGGTTCCCCACCCTGATGCCCTCCCTCTGGGGCCTCCAGAACTCTGCACTGCCACCCACACTGATGCCACCCACACTGATGCCAGCAGGTGGGGGTGCCTCACCATTGTGGCGCGGGCTCCCAGTGGTGGCACTGAGCTTCCCCACCCCACCTCTGCCCTGACATGCTGGGTCCTGCCTGCTTCACTGCAGAGACCCTGGGGGGAATCACAGCAGCGTGAGGAGCCCCGAGCCCACAGCCAACCCTGCCTTGTGCACTAATCTAGGGGGCATGTGCCCCTCATGTCCCCTGCAGAAATACGTGCAGTGGCAAGAAGCCTCCAACCATCCCTCAGACAAACTGCCCATGGCTCCATCCCGCTCATTCCCTGCAGCCACACATTCCCAGCCTGACCTCAGGCCCCAGACCTAACACTGCCCCAGCTGGGCAGCACCCCACAGCCCTGGCCAACTCCCTCCCACACTATGAGAGCCTCAATCCCTCTCTACCTGTGGCGAGCTGCGGGAGCTGTCCTCCACGTTGCCTGGCTATTATGTGCATGTGTGCACACACATGCATGCGGTACCCCCTGCCTGTTCTCCCTCCTCCTGCTTCCCCAGTCCCTTGCAAGATGGAACTCTGCTAACCTACAAGGGCAAATCCACCGTTTCCCCGTTTTTTTCTCTTTTAAAGGAGCAAATCCACATTTTAACATGGCAAACAGAAAACCTGGATCCCTGCTGATTAGGGGTGTGCGAAGTGGGCCGTATTCGATCCAGATTTGGCCTTATTTGGGGGACAGTGATTTGATTTGTTGATTCGGATCACTGTCCCAATTCGATATGGCCAAATCTGAATCTGAAGATTTGATTCTGATTCGGAGAATCAGCAGCTCGGCCACAGACACAGCTTTAAATGTTTCTTCTATATACCTTGAGGTACCAGGCGCAGCTTGTGAATGCTGAAATGGTGGGATGGATAGAGCGTCCCACAGGAGCACGCTCCCCCCCCCGAAGTGCTTCTGGGCCACTTCCAGGTCTGCCACCAAGCACGCTGGGGACCAGCCCCCATGGGACATTCCATATGCCCCATCATCTCAGCGTTCATGAGTCACCTGGTATCTTGCAGTACGTAGAAAAAAACATATAAAGCTGTGTCTATGTCCAAATCATCAAATCTCTCTGATTCAATTCAGAGAGATTAACAGGTCTCCTGATTCGATTTGGATATTCAGCCACTGAATCGGGCCGAATCTTCGCCAAATCGAATCAGCAACCAAAGCTTTGCACAGCCCTACTTCTGATAGCACCTGGATCCCTACTGATACCACACCAATACACCTTGGCACTCAGAGGTAGCCCAGTTTCAATCCAGGCACACAGGAGCCCTGATCCAGACCTAATTTAGCCTGCAGACTGGTCCCGCACCACTCAGCTGGCCCATGCCAGTAAAACGTTGAGCACCACTGGCTTAAGCCAGCAGAATCCACAAACTGGAGAATGGAAAAAAGACAATCCAGCACTTACTGACAAATAAATTCATAGGTGAGAATACCTGGAAGATTACAGAGGGAAATGAGCATGTCATGTGTAAAACACACCACAAGGTTCCACCAGAAAAATCAACAGGGAGAAGGCTGAGACAATAAAGGGTGAAAGTTCACCAAGATTTGTCAAACAAACCTGCTAGCTTAGGAACTGGCTGCATAATTCTCCCACTAGCTAAAAAAGGTTCTCAGCTATCTACCGCTGTGTAAGATGTTAAAATTAATACAAAACCAGTTAAATTGGGTTGTTTTACAAGTGGCATAAGCTATGACCACACAAGCTTGACAGGAGCGAGCCCTGAACCCAGTGGCAAGGATGTCCAAGACAACCGGAGACCTCCATCCTGCTGCAGCCCTTATCCACCTTCACAGGCACAGAGAACCAGCAGGTCCTCAAGTACACCTGTTCTGCCGTTGGGACCCTCAGGAGTTTGCACCATGCTTAGTCTGGGACCTCACCTAAGATCAGTTTGCCGGGGGAGTACAAGACTCAAGATGACACAGCTCTCAGGGTCACTGGAACATACAAGCCTCTCCACCACAGCAAGGTTATGGTCCAAGGAGAGCATGTTAAAAGAGGTCCCGCGCAGGCCTCTGCCAGGGATGTTAACATCTCCCACAAACCAAGTCCTGTGGTGAGAGACAAGTGGGGGTGGGGACAGGAACAGTGATTTCTGGGAGTCCCTAGTCACAAATCTGCATGTAGGTGGTGGTCATGTGATGGTCGTTTTGCACCAAGACCAACATGGTAGCTGCAGCCATGACTGAGCAGTCCTCTTTAGGATCCCCTCTTTTCACCCACAATAGGGAAGAGGCTAGAAAAGATAGCCTATTTTTTGGGTGTCTCATACCCCCTGGCTGAACTGCCGCATCCAGTGGGGTCGCTCTACTTGCAGTCAAAACCAACCAAATAAAGTACTGAAGTTTGCCACATGGAATGTCCGCACTCTCATGGAGTCCCCGAACAGTAAGTGTCCTGAAAGAACCACCACAGTAGCTAGGAACTTGCAAGATATGACATCAATATTGCTGCCCTAGGTGAGATCCACTGGGCAGATGAAGGCCAGCTGAAAGGAGGAGATGGCTACACCTTTTTTTGGAAAGGTGCCTTCACAGGGTTGGGCTTTGCCATCAAGAACAAGATTGTCAGCCAGCTTTCAGAACTCCTTGTGGGCATTAACAAATGCCTTATGACTCTCCACTTCAAGCTCACTAACAACCAATATGCTATGGTCATCAATGCATACACCCCCACACTTGACAATGAAGAAGTCAACAAGGAACAGTTCTACTGTGATCTTGATGCAATCCTGACTGCCACTGCCAAGGAAGACAAGCTCATCCTCACACGTGACTTCAATGCAAGAGTTGGGCAACACTCTGAACTCTGGAGTGGCACCACTGGGAAAGAGGGGGTAGAGAAATTCACCTCCAATGGTATCCTCCTCCTCAGCAAATGTGTAGAGCATGACTTGCTGATCACAAATCCCATCTTCAGACAGAGTTTCAAATATAAGACCACTTGGAAACATCCACACTTCAATCACTGGCACCTTCTTGACTATATTACTGTTAGAGCCTGTGATTGTACCAACGTCCATATCGCCCAAGTCCTGAGAAGTGCAGATGACTGCTGGACAGATCACTGTTTAGTCAAATCAATCATGGACATGCAGCTTGAACCACGACACTGTAAACAACTGAAAGGAATGCAGAAGAGATTTAACATCAAGGTACTCCAAGACCAAGCTAGATGCAAGGCTCTTCAGCAATGCCTTACTGAGAGGTTCTCTGACCTACCTGATGACATCCAAGACATCCAGGCACGCTGGGAAGAGGTTACGAACATTATTCACAAGGCATGCATTGAATTAACTGGATACTCCACTTGCTGTCACCAAGATTGGTTTAATGAGAACAATGAGCAAATCCTAGCACTTATCCATCAGAAGACAGTTACGCTCTGCATATGGCAAAATGAACCCTCCAACCAGCAAAAATGAGAGGCTACAGGACATCAAGAACCAATGGTGGCAAGCGAAGGCCATGGAGATCCAGTGTTTTGCTGACCAATATGACATGAGATGCTTCTTTCAAGCAATAAAGGTCATCCACGGGCCACATTCCAATGGCTCAACCCCGCTGCGATCCCAAGCTGGCTCCACCCTTCTCAGGGACAATGTGTATCCATCAAGCCACACTGGAAGGAGCACTTCAAGACTCAACTGTGAATCTGAGGTCTCAGTTGCCACCATTGAGTCCATCCTTCAACACCCAGTAACAGAACCTCTTGCTAATCCCCATCCTTCAAGGAAGTCTGGCATGCCATTGCTCAGACCAAGAACAGTAAGGTGCCAGGCCCAGATGACATCCCCGCACAGGTCTTCAAAGCTGGTGGAACAGCACTAGTGCAAATATTTCACTAACTTCTTAGCAAAATATGGGTTAATGAGGAAGTCCCACCTGACTTAAAGAATGCCAACATTGTGACCACATTAAAGAAAAGAGACAAGTCAGTGTGTGGGAACTACTGAGGCACTGCCCTCCTCTCCAATGCCAGGAAGATTCTTACTTGCATCCTTCTGAATTGCCTCCTCCCCCTTGCAGAAGATGTCCTTCCAAAATCCCAGTGTGGCTTTAGACCATCTCGGGGTACCATCAACATGATTTTTGTTGCATGGCAGATCCAGGAGAAGTGTAGAGAGCAACATCAAGAGCTGTTTATGTCATTCATTGGCCTAACCAAGGCCTTTGACACTATCAATCATGAAGTCTTATGGAAAGTACTGGTTAGGTTAGGTTTGGTTGTCCACTGAAGTTCAGTGTGTTCAGGCTACTCCATGACTGAATGACTGCCACAGTCCTTTGCAATGGATCAGAGAAAGACCCATTTACCACCCGTACTGGTGCCAAGCAGGACTGTGTCATTGCCCCAACCCTTTTTTCCATCTATCTTGCTGTGATTTTGATTCTCATCCATGACCGCCTTCCTCCTGGAATTGGGGTTCAGTATCAAACGGACGGTCAGCATTTCAACCTATGGCACCTTCATAGCAGAACAAAAGTTACCAGGACTGGCATCACCAACCTTCAGTACTCTGATGGCTTATCTGCACATACTCCGAGACCAATCTGCAGTCCAACCTTGACCTTTTCTCAGGTGCCTTTCTCCCTTAACATTGGGAAGACCAAGGTGCTCCATCAGCCTCTCTCAGCACAAGTTGCCCACCTCACCCCACAAATTATCATTGGTGGAGAACCCCTGGAAAACGTTGAGCATTTCCCATGCCTTGGCAGTCACCTCTCCCAGTCACCCAGTCAGTCTTGATGCAAAAAACTAACATAGGATTTGCTGTGCCAGGATATCCTTTGGAAAGCTGTTTCACCATGTCTTTGCTGACTGAGATCTGCAGATGGAAACTAAGATCCTGGTCTACAATGCAGTGGTTATTCCCACGGTCATCTACAAACGTGAGATGTGGGTGACAAATTGAAGCCACTTTAAGCACCTGGATGGTTCCATAAGCATTGCCTCAGGAAGATCCTTTGCATTAGATGGGAAGACCACTGCACCAATGCCACATCCTCTCTGCAGCTAACATAAGGCAAAGATCATGAAACATTAACTCCGCTGGACTGGCCACTGTATGAGGATGGCTGGCACTTGTCTTGCAAAACAAGTTCTCTTTTCTCAACTTAGTCATGGTAAGAGGACCCGCGGAAGACAGAGGAAATGCTACAAGGACACCCTGAAAGCATACCTTAAGAAGGTTGGCATCAACCCTACAATCTGGGAAGTGCTAGCTGGTAACAAACAGGTCTCAATGGCACTGCACTATACATCAAGCTACAGCCCACTTTGAAGAGAACCGACTTGCTCAGGAAGCTGAGAAATGGCAGAGGAGGAAGAAAAGCAAACAGCATCCTGGCTAACAGTTGTTGCCTCTCCCAAGGCACCACTTATCATATCTGTGGAAAAGCTTGCAGAGCACAGATTGGACTCCTCACCACCTTAAAACTCACCAGTAATCCCCTGCCCCCCTCAACAAACACCATCCTCATATCAA